CGCACGTAAACACGCAAATGAAAATTGCTGCACAACTAGAATTTCAAACAAAGCGCACATGTGTAATGCAAAAAAGCACACCACCTTTGTGCATTGTACAAGAAGCATAGCAGCAGACGAAATAAATCCCGAAGAAGTGCATTCTTTTGCGGGCATCTTTCCGTATAGGCACCGCAATCAACATAAATTCAACCAGAATGTGACCCGAGAGCGACAGGGCCTGCACTATTACTCCGTTGTCCGTGACCATTGGGGGATGTTCTCGTCATGCGCGGGTGTTCTGCTCGGCTTGAGTTCTCGCACGGCGGAGACAAAATCTGCCGCGGTGCGTGCAGCAAGAAGCGGCCACGTGACCGTCGGGGCCCATGAAGGGGCCCTCCTGCCACGTGCGCCGCTAAAGCTGTGAGTGGATTTCTTTGATTTTCGCAATAAAAAGGAAACGTTTCAGAAAACCCTAAAACACTTTTTTTATTTTTTTTGCCCCCACTGAAAACGTCTCTTTGAGAATCGTTTTTTTTTTGTAACACCACACGTTGGTGCACGGTAGTTCAACGTAACGTTGCAGTTTCATTTTTTTTATGTAAGATTTTATTTTTTCATGCATGGCCCATACGTTTAGCACGAACGTTTGTGCACTTGTTTATTGAAATGACTCGTGACTTCAAGATCATGTTGCATTTTACACCCCATCTGCGCCCGTCTCCCCCTTCCTGCACAATACATTGTCCTCGCGGACGAGCGTGAAGATCGAGTGGTAAATCGCTCACGGAACGCAGAAACCTGAAGTGGCACGCGCGGCTTAGAGCCCCCTGAAGGGCTTTGCAAGCAAAGTGAGCGAACCTCAAATTAACCCCGTCAATCAGTCGCGGCTGGAAAACAACAATAATAAATAAATAATAATAAACAACAGTAACCACGCTGCCCACATTATTTTTTTTCTTTAAGCCAAATATCTAAAATATATATAAAGAAAGAGTGGCGGGTTTTGACTGCGCCGCCCAGACCGAGGAAGGAAGGTGAGAGAGAGAGATCCTGCCCCCCCCTCCCACCTCAACCACTCACAGCACAGCCATTAGCCCGACGGAGACAGGATGTTAGAAGAGGGGTTAATTGTGCTTTACGGGATCAGTGTTTAACGTCATTACTCAAAACGCATTACGCCCGCCAGTGTCCTTCATTCTCCACCACTTACAGCTGCCAAACGGCAGCACACCCTCGATTTCTTTTCCCTGTAGGAATACACAGCAATGCACGAAACTCTACTGCAACGACTAAAGTTGCAAGGGAGATGTTTTGCCTTGGTGCTCATGGCTATAGCGAGCCGGTCCTGCAACGCAAGGTCGCTGATTCGACTCCGTCTCCCACGCGCCAGGAGAAGACAACGGGAACCTTCCTTAACCCCCCCCCCCCACCTCCTTCCCACCTCCTATCGCCTCCTGACGCCACTGAGCAGTCGGTGCTGTGAACGCGGAGGGAGAACGACTGTTGAGCTGTCGCGTGCGGTGGGGTGAAGCGTGGGGACTGTCACCTCTCCCAAGACGTGTGAAGAGCGTGAGAGAGGAGACCAACACAGCTTCCTAGAGGAGCTCGCGAGCTCTCGTCGAGGCCCTTCTGTCAGCAGTGGCGTGGCCAGGCACTTGCAGGGCTTCGCCTTCACCAGCTCTGCAGTACAAACTCGTTTTTAGAGTTTTTCTGCGGGTTTCTTTTTGCAATGAATGGGTCCCATCGCGAATATTTCATATTATTGCATAGAAGATCCTGCAAACGAGCTGCTCGACTCTGATGAAGCCCAGGAGGCAGAAACTGCTCAATATTTTGTTAACTTGAACATTGGTTCGGAAGGCCCATAAACCGATTAACAAAATGTAAATCATATTTCATGTAGACAAACGGACCTTTGTGTAATTTTTTTTCTGTATTATTCTGCAGCTCACGTTCAGAGGTAGAACAGCGGCGAAGCGGTTGAGTGCACTGCGCTACTGATCTAGCTATTTTGCCCATGAGTTCGAATCCCAGCCACGGCTAACATCGCTAAGGGGAGTGGCATCTGAGCCGGTCATGGACTCCCCCTCCAACCCTCGTTTCACAAACCGGCACTGACCAACGTGGTGAAGTATGGTCAACACAACCGCTACGACCATCACGGCGGTGGAGAAGCCTCCATCCAACAGCAGCGGATTGACAAAGGGCCGGTGTGCTTGCTTGAGCAGAATGTCGGTGATACGTAATACCGAGTGTTATGCTGTATTATATTACCGTAGCAAGACTAATTACGCAGCAGATACAATATACCTAACGAGCGCGACCTGGAAAAGTAATGTACAATATTGGTTTTAACTCATTTAACTATAACAACATAGGTATAGCAATAATTGTGCACATTCTGCAGTATAGAATATATATAATCAATTAAGTTTCTGGAATGTAATAGCATTGGTCAAAACGTCTTCATATAACTGAAACATTATACCTATTTAAATCATGGCTTATTTTTAGCAATATTTTACATCCACAGATCTTCAATATGGATGCGAACGCTGGACTACTACAAGTCCATGCAGAGCTATTTAGACCCAACAGAAATGCGATTTTAAGGAGTGGAGCGACATAAATGTGTTACGGATAGCAGCAAGTACGCAACTATACCATTCATAAATATATATAGAAAATCAAGTTATAGATTACTCGAACATGCATTGAGAAACGGTGACTTAAGTTCCGCCAAAAGCAATTTGAATGACGGCACATAGCGATCGCTAATTTAATAGTGTTCCTGTACAAATCACGCTTCATAATCATTGGGCAGGTTACACCAACAAATGTGTTCAGAATTGTAATGAAATACTTCGCAATAATTTTCCTGTTGGAATTCAGTGTCGAGTTTTCAAAGCATTGACGCTCTTGTCGTATGTGCATGCGCGTAGGCAGCAGATATTAAAACACAAGGCGCTTACCGCAGTATAACAATACACCTACACTCACTATTTAAACACAGTTACCACATGTGTATAAAACTGAAATGTTAACCTATTGCGCACATGTATTTCTATTACAGTATAAGGCAATATTAACAATACACGCGGCGATTTTTATATTTTTAAAAATGAATTCATATACGTGTAGGTTATTAAAATATCTTCCCATAACATCGTTGAGAGAGAGAGAGAGAGCACACGTACAACCAACGACTGCTCGTAAACCAACATCATTTGTTTAAAAACGCGCCTGACTGCTGATGAGACAACAACACTGAAACTCGCTAGGCTGTGTGTAGATAATTAATAATATGGCTGATTAAACAAATGACGCGAGTTAACGTGAGTCTGGAAGGCCAATACACCGATGGAGCAAGATAGAATTCACTTGAATGTGTGAGTACGGGACGCAAGACGTTGTATATCACTGAGTGTACGGCACACTGCGCTCAGCGGGATTGTCCCCCACAGTGGCCGTCGTTTTCGCGCTGACGACACTCAGCGAGGTGAAGGCCGGGCGGCATCTCGTGGACCACGCTTACACTTCAATCTTGATTTGAAGCTTACACGTCTCTGCGATTTCAGATGCGCTGCTTCTACGGCCTTCTAAAACTCTCTACCTTCCTATATAAAGGAAGCCACTGGAGCTATGCACTTTTAAATCTCGATTGAAAACTAAATTCTTCAGAGCTGCTTTTTGTGTTCAGTCTGTTCTTCTTCCCTCGCGACTCCCACTATCACGGCTGGCTACTGACGGAGCGAAAGAAGTTCAACTGCAGTAATTCATATTCTTAGTTTTTTCGGTAAAGTCACGTTGAAGAGAAAAAACAAAATAACAAAATATATATAAAACAATAAAAAATTCTCACGACGTTTCGACCATAACTCAAACGGTCATCATCAGGTGATTTCGACCATAACTCAAACGGTCATCATCAGGTGATGATGACCGTTTGAGTTATGGTCGAAACGTCGTGAGAATTTTTTATTGTTTTATATATATTTTGTTATTTTGTTTTTTTCTCTTCAACGTGACTTTACCGAAAAAACTAAGAATAAGTTCAACATACATACAAAGTGGCTGCCGATAAATTGTAGAACCAGTTTAGATGTTTTCGAACAAACACAACCGCTTAAAATGTGTCTAGAAGGCAGAGAGGCCGATAACCGAAAACAAAATTGGATCTGGGAATATGGAAAAGGGGGCGACTCAACTCAGCACGGAAGTTCTACTGGCCGACACAGACGCGCCGTGTTACCCACGGAAGTGAATGCACTGCTGCCTTTTGTTTAGTTTGTGATTGTTGTTGTTCTCGCCCTCGCTTTGTTCACAACAAAACAATCAATACTCGTGACGAGGAAGTCGCTTGCGCGGTGTGTGACGCTGCAGATCCTGCGTGGGAAAGGCGAGAGGCGGCTGGCGGGATGGAGCGGCACGACTCTGCCCGGTGCGCAGTGGTGATGGCGCGCGAGTCGACACCCCAATGCACGCGTGCACATTGACGAGGACGCTCTTCGCGAGCACCCCTAACGTCGGCGTTGTTGTTGTTGTTGCGCGAGTTCGGGAAATGTGCTGAGCACCACGCCCCGTCGCATTTGTCTCTCCAGTGCTGCTGCTCTTTACACAATGCGCACAGGCGCTTTTATTTTTTTACCACTCGGACAAGTTCGGATACCACTTGCCAATGATTGTATCCAAAGCCAAGAATCAAACCCAGGTCTCTGAGATCGCAGTGCAGGGTGTGACCCCATGTCCCACATCAAAAAAAGATCCCCTGCATAGCCTTTAACCGACTGTTGGGGCAAGTGGTTTTAGCGAGTAACACCTATGAAGACCGGCACGGCACACGAGGGGGTGGGTGGTTAGTACCACGCCCGGCCGCCTTCGTCTCCCGAGTGTCGATGTTTACACACCGCATCAGGTTCTCATTTGAGGCTGAGTCGACCTAGGGCAGGCCCAGGACTGATTCAGATAATCGTCACTGGTCGGTCGTAGAGAGGGGATCGAACTCGGGTCATCGGATTCGTAGCGTAGCTAACCGCTCCACTACCGCTACCACCACACCGTACACAAGTACACACGCGCACACACAGTGGGTGTTACAGCCAACAGCCCCTGGACTCCTGTGCACCGCCCTTCAGCGCCGAATGTAACTCGAGCAATGTCACGTCAAATATAACCTCACGAAAAATGAAAAGTCCAAGCCTATCATGAATCACCGTTCATGTGAATCTGGATGTGAAGAGACGTGTTTGCCTCATTGGCGGCAAGCTTGGTGGTATACATGTGCGTGCGCGTGTGTTTGAGAGTGTGTGTGTGTGTTAAAGGCAAACGAAACATTTAATTGTAGGGAGAGCACTTAATCCACAGTCGATGAAATGCTCTAAATTATAGGTATTTTCATTTTTTCGGTTCAACGTGATAAATATTAGTTTTAGCTAAATTACACGGGGCATAGTGCATGACAGTATAAATAATTGCCGCCTGCTTTGTTCAGCAAAGTCATTATTTTTATAGGCAACAAGACTGCTACATAAGCCATACACGCCGGCACGTGGAGGCAATCACTCCGTCCACTGCAGTGCGGCGCGCAGCAACGCTCCGCACGAGGTAATGACGACCCGCCGTGTCCCCCGCACTTTCCGAGTCAACATCGATGCCCCCCCCCCACCCCTTAGCCCAAAAGCAGGCTACGAGTCGCGTCAATTCTCCTGCAGTGGCCTGTCCCGCGCAGCACGTGTTGTGCTGCGAGGAATGTTCGCGAGACACCACATCGATTGCAGTCCTCCGCAGTTGCTTAAAAACCTGCGTCCACCCAGATACCCTGGAGCTGTCAGGAGGGGGTGCGGGGGGAAGAGGGGTCTATTCCTGACCCCTCGACCCCACCCGCACGGCTGTTTCAAACAATGAGCATCTCTCTCCCCGTTAAATTTTAAAACCGCGTACAATTGCCGAAGTGTAAACATATCGGGGCGGCTGGGGTCGTCCCCCGCCACCGTAAGCAGCTGCCGCTGGGGGACACCGCGCTCCGAGCACGACGCGTGGATGTTGTTCTCGCGCGCGGTGCCGTCAGCGTTTAGAGAGGTCCCGCTGAGGATGTTCCTTTTTCCGAAGCACGTCAGAGGTTTTAACCGGCGAGCTGTCGACCCTGTCACGGCGATGACACGCGTCCCGGTTTTAAACCGCGATCGTGTTTTGGGACAACATGCGCACGCATGCTGTGCGCGAAGCTCCCACAGAGGAAAGGCGCAAGCTCTTAAGGTGATTGCACATCGGCAGCATGTTTAATTTAAGGGGTGCCCTGTACAGAGAAACCTTATAATCCATAAAATCTCATTGTTCAGAAAACGGGCTTTTGTTGAATCGGCAGATGAAGTAGATGGAAAAGTGAATTATTAAGTCCATTGTGCGGCCACCTGTAGGCAGACGATACAAACGTGGATTGCAGAGTGTTCCTATTAAGTAAGCATCGGTTATCGAAATGTTAACTTATTTTAGGGTTATGAAGGGTTTTGTCCCCCCCCCCCCCCCCCCAGGACACTGCGCGATGTATATCATGCCATGGTGTGTGTCATCATCAATATCTCCAGCGTGCTGCTCGCGTTGCAGATTTCAGTGCACAAGCACCAACCTCATCGATTCATTGGAAATCATGGAACCTCACATCACAAATTAAAATATCTCACTCTTTACAAAACCACGGTGCTTTTTGGTGCCACGTTGAGAGAGGGTCACCACACATCAACCATCTGTGGTATATTAGTAAAGCTACTTAAAGCCGAGCTGGGCCACATGAAATCACACTGGAAGTTTGTGTTACATTGTTGTCATAAATGATTGATGGTAGGTATTTGATCAACGGTCCAAACACCTTTCCTACACTTGGTTGGTCACGTGGTTGGTGGTTGACCTCCAATTTCCTGTAAGTTCTCAACGACCTTCGTAAACAGTTTATCTTACATGTGATAAGACGCGATTGGCTCTGTAATTCTTCAAGCCATTTTAACTAACTTTTTGAAAAGAGGAATTATTGAGGCATCATTCCATGTCGCTATCAACGATGATAGCCGGTGATAAAGACTAACGATGGGGTGGCAGTCAAATGATGGAACACGCATGCACGAATGTCGACTACAGCAATAAAATCAACTGGTGTGCAGGAGCTCGGTGGATTGATTATTTGCAAGACCGCACGAGATGGTGATGGCATGAAGTTGCTTTCACAGAGCATTGGGTAGATTATTGCTGCTGCTGATGATGATGATAGCAATACAATTTATACCACACGCAATATTTCACGTTAGTGACCCTGACTCTGAGGTGTGGAGCCAAACACATTGTCGTTCGAACGCCAGGCGATGAAGGCGAGGCCCTGAAGTGTCTCGTAACATTCTGTGCAGATTTAACGTTGCCGTGAATGTGCAGCGGGATGACCCGACAGAGACGGCCCCAGGCCTTGGCGGAGAGAGGAGGAGGAGGGGGGGGGGGTGAGTCGCGCTACTGCGGACAGCCCCACCGCGGGCTGCGGTGCGAGGTGACGCGCACGGACAGAGATCGGTGGGCGGCCAAAAGCAGAGGCGTGGTGGCACAGGCGGGCGATGTCGTAGCCGCCGTTACTGGTGATGTGAAGCCACAGGGAGGAGGAGGAGGAGGTGAGGGTGTCTCGTCGAGGATGACAGATGACGGTGCTCATATTCAGTCGTTTACAACTGCAGCTGAATAGTCGCAGCAGTCCTCAATTTGAACTCTGGGAATCGGCAGATCTCGCTCGCTATCCTAATACTAAAACATATTTTAAACCAAACTATTTATTTTACCAGGTAAAGCCCACGAACAGGCACACTTGTATGCAGATTTTGTTTTATTCATCCAAATGTTCCTAAAGCACTCCCCTTATATTCCATCGTTGTAAGCCAGGTCCGCCCTGGGTAGGTGGACTCTGACGTCTTGTCGGGTTGTGTGCCTCCAACAAGCTATCCTCCTCGCTGGTTTCAGTGAACGCGTTCCCTATCCATAATGTAGATTTGTTTTGGGTGAGATTGCGTAAACCTAAATGTGTTGTTAAACCCGCCACCACCCGACACAGTCAACTAGTAAGGGTTGTCACGTAGACGGAACGTGTCAATTCGTTACTAGTACAGCACACCGGTGTGTTGGAGAGTAAATCCACTACATTTTCAATCCCTATGTTTCCTATGCCTGCCACACACCTGTACAGACGGACTCCCATACACAGACCAATTAAAATAACGAGGATAAATAATCATGCTGTAAATTTAGAGTTTGTGAAATAGACTAACTATACCCACACAAATACCGCGAAGTTAATGATTCGCGCGATCACACTCCACGAGCACGGCCCTCGCAAAACAAGCGGCCTTTATTTACAAATCAACAGCAAAAATATCGGAGGGCTAATTTAGTCGAATTCACTCGAGGATGAAAAAAAGTGGAATGCTCCTGCCACTCACCCCCCCCCCCAAACCTGGCTCACCACCCATAGCCCCCCCCCCCCTCATCCCCACATATTCATAGCCATCAATCCACCCCTGCCAACATCTGTAAAATAAAATAAAAATAGTCGGATAGGTTGACACATTTGTCTTTGCGGCGTGGGTCACACGGACGCTGGGCTAGACAGCAGACAGGAGAATGCAGCTTTGAAATATGCCCCCTCGTCCTCTTCGTCCTCCTCGTCCCCCCCACCCCCTCCTCGTCCCCCTCCTCGTCCTCGTCGTCTGTCACGGCGTAGGTCCCAGCCGCCACCCACGTCCACGGCGCCATTTTTCCTTCTGCCAAGCGACGGCGCTGCCCCCTTGCGAACCCCGACCGGGGGTCCGGGGTGGGGGGTGGTGACTGCGACAGGCCCTCCCCCCCCCCCCCAGCTTGTGGAGACTGGCAGCAGCAAGTGGCCAGAGAGGGGTGTGAGGGAGCAGACGTTAGCGCCTGAAGAAGAATGTTCTTAACCCTTGAAAAAGAACGTGGAATATCTGCAGCAAGCGTTGAGCGTGTGCAAGAAATAAACTATTTTTTACTGCCCCTAGTTTAGCATGTGCGGAGTACAGGGCACATTGCAGGGCGTTTTAAAACAGTGGGGGGAAAAGAGAGACATTAATGTCAGAGCTCGCCTCCTACGGGAGGCTGTGCCAAGTGAGTGATGGAGGCCATTTAGGCTCTGGCCCTGATGTATATTCTACTCAACGAGTGAAAGCATTTCCCATGAAGTTAGATTGCTGGGCGGCCAAACTTATCCATCCCCCAGCGGACTCCATTTCACGTTCTTTTAGGGCACCGGAGCCGAAGGCTCATTTGGCCTAACTAAGGCCACGTCCTAAGATGTACTTTGGGATGGAACGAGACACACAAACCTTCAGGGAGGCGACGAGGGGATGTGTGGGGGGAGTTGGGGGCCTGTTTTGAGGGGTTTTACACTGGCACTTATTGCTATTTTTAAAATTCCCAAACCCACAGAGGATTGCTTCGCGAAGCTAAGACTGGGAAATAGTCACCGAGCTAATGTGAAATGAATGTAAACATCGTAAAAGGACACGTTTTCACATCGTCTTAATTCATTTTTCAATGGACTACCTTTTTGCCAAAAGAGGGCATCCTTAAATTCTTTCCATGACATCAATGTCACCCTGGCAAACACTGCTGCCAAAGGTTTTTATAGTGCGAATAAATAAATAAAAGGCCACGCCACAAGGTGATGATAAATGTGTCCAGCGTGATTACCCCCGTGCTATTTTTTGTTTTGTACTCCGTTCGACAGGCCGCTGCTAACCCCTCGATATTCCCACAGAGTGCCATCGCCACCACGGCCATCATCAGCGGCCATCGATCCGCTGCAGAGGTGACGGCCCCCACCGGTGGTCGCCAACGCTCTGGTGCCGCGAGGGCACCGTCCACCCAGCCGTTGCTCATCAACAGAGCGACAGGGCGACAAGGTGCTGATAATTTTCCTCTAAACTAAACTAAAACTATTTTATTTTACCAGGTAGGGCCCACTGAGTTGTATGGCTCAAAGTGGACATATTTAGAGCAGCGTGATGTTGATTCCAAATGTGCAAGGGAAAACCGGAAGACCTGGAGAAAAATCCACGCGACCACGGGGGAGAACACACAAACTCCAAATATACAGGCGTCAGGGTCGGGATTGAGCCCACGACCTCCTGCATACCAGCGAGGTAGTTAACATCTCACCACCTCGGAGCCCCTTCCCTGGATTATTATAATCATCGGAATCTGCCGGCCCCCCGTATCTGTATGGATGCGAGGCTGTGTATAGCTTCTACTTAATATGCAAAGCGTGGAGCAGAACGGGCTCAAAATAGAGCGGGTTTGACGTCCCGTCAGCGCACAGACGTCTGTGAAACTCGGGCCGAGATCGCATTCCCTTGGCCGCGCTCCAGGTCGTGAGAGGGAGAGCGTTCTCACTGCTGACGTGGACTGGAAAAATCTGTGAAAATTGAATATATGGCCAAGAGGACAAGAAATTGCACAGATTTGCTGGCATAAGTCAAATAATGTGATAACGCTCGGGAGTGAGCCATGGGGGCATTCTGGCATCCAGCCCAGCCGCTAAACGCGACCATAAATTATTTCGTAAGATACGGCGATGTTTGGAGGCCCCGAAGTATTTATAAAGCGAAGTATCTATGCTAAGTACTGAAACAATTACGAACCAAGCGACGATCGGCAACGACGTACTTGGAACGAACTCCCGCAATAGAGGAACAAAAAATCGCAGAAACACTACGCGCCATAAAATACACTGACAAATGTTGCTTTCTCTTCCGCATGTGAGTTTAGTGATAGATACAGCAGGCTTCGACCATCAACTACGGCCATTAAATCATACGCGAGCTACCGCTGACTTAATAATGACACAGGTATGTTCGGCACGCAGTGGGCCCAACGCCTACCGCTCGGCCCAATAATCTATAAAACACACCGAGACGCACGGCCTGGCTGCTCGCCTTTGTCGAGCCAGGGACTCGGGGGGGGGGGGGGTGGGACCCGCCGAGGTGCGACGAGGAGAAGGAATAGGAGCCACGGGTTAGCACGCAGCTGGGCATGGGAAATGTGACACCGTCGACGGAGCCAGAGGCCAGATGATGGCGGGAGGGGGCCACGCGCGGTGAAGGCGCCGAGAGGCCCGGGCCATCAATCTCCAACGCCCTCCGTGCGTCCTGGGCGGGCGCTGCCCATGTCTCTTACGCCGTGACCCAGCTTAGCGCGGGGTCACACTTAATAAAACTCCCAATCCACTTAAGCCCTTGTTTATTTGGAAAACATTTCTTGTAATTCCTTTATTGCTTACGTGCTAGCGGCCATAGTGGAGCAACTTTTTACGACGGAGCAAAGCAAAACAAAAAAAGACACCTCCCGAGCACGGCAGGCCGAAGGGGCCGAGAAGACCCGGTCGCTCGCCTTGCTGCGTCTCTCTTTTATTTTATAAGCGATCGGCACTGTAGCGATTTTCTTTTCTTGTTTTCACATCCAGTACGACAACCGTAGGGAGAGTCGGGCTTTGAATGCGGACCATGTGTTTTGCTTCACATATTCACGCCTTATTTTAGAATCCTGTTGTGTATATTAGTGTCAGGCGCGTCGGCGCGCCTGGTGGTCAAGAGAGCATCGCACAGTAACACAGCGCCGAGCGAAGTCGCCTCCTCACCGGCGCGGGGTGCAACGGCGCTGCCGGGTGGACGCGAGCGTGGGGCAACATGTGTCAGCCAGACGTACCGGGGTGGAGAGGGGGGGGGGCTGGGTGATAGAGAGGGGGTCTGACTCCCGCTGACGCACGCATGAATAGAACAAATTGTAGCACAGCGGGTTGCGTGGACGGGTTGTGAGGCAATTCGTCCCAAACGCCGAGCGGCCCTCACAGAAATCATATGGTATGAACTTCCCCGTAAACATTTTATGGGAGGAACACACGGATTAGCCCTGCCTGGCGCGCAGAGGGCACTCAATTATGTGCAATAGGGCCCTCTTTTACAATTCTTTACTCTGATTGTCTTTGATAGGGGAAATTCAATATTTAGGGCTTTCGGTGATACTTTTTTTTCAATGCACTGTGAACCTATCATTTGTGTTAAATAAAATAATTTTCCAAATGCTGTTTTTCTTTTATTTTTTTCTCAGTTAATATTGCCACGCTAGAGAGCATACACAGTACGATATAAACAACTCATCAGCAACACGTTGTTTTTATTAGTTTATTTTACTCGATGTCTAACAAAGTAGCGCGATAAAGTCCGTTCCATTCCAAGCATGGCCTTTAACAAAAAAAATAACCTTTCTACCACTGCAAGCCAGAAACGCAAAACATTTGAGATTTTTTTTTGCTTTTGTGTAGAGTGATGTCAGTGATGCTATTTGCACAACGAATGAGGTCAAAAGGTCATTAAACTTCAGAGGAAGATATTTACATGTGTGGCAATGGGGACTTGCCAATCGGCAGGGTTAGATTAATATAAATTGTACTGTCACATGCCAGGCCTCGCGTCGTGCGCAGTGGGGCCGTTCTCGTTGTAGTATTAGAGGGAAATGATCTCAGACCACAATCCTGATAAGATAAGCGGCTACGCCGGGAACATTTGTCTACAATCCATATGGCGCGGCGGCACTGTACATTTCCGAAAGCAGAACAACCCAGCCCGGTTCCCAGTGCCCTTTGCTACGTAACGTCATCGCACAGCGGAGATGGGACGCCAGCCAGACAGAGTTTTGCTATTTTCCCATAACGGGAAGCGAAATGTTAAAATACAAGTACTGTGGGAGCAATATCAGTAATGTCTGATTTATTTAAGTTGACTTGAAAATGGAATGCGCGCCACATTAAAGCACACCGCAAATTATTTTTTTTCATTATATTTTATTGTTTAGTATATAACGCGCTTGCCACACAATGGAAGTGACACAAGGAACTGGATGTGAAATAAGGCACCCGATAACAAGCGAGCGACGTCGGTTTTTGCCGCGAGCCTCTTGTTGATATACTGCTCCTGCCGAACGCCTTTAAACAAAAAACACCCCGAGCTGTCCACGGGCAGGGAAAGGCGTTGGTGCGCTCTCGAGGTGCCTTTGTTTTTGCGATTAAAGAGCCTTGTTTGTGTGTACAAATCAAAATAAGACAACTCCTTTCTCCTTTTTTGAGACGAGTCCAGAAACGGAGATTTCCCGCCGGTCATAACAACAACCAGATGTGATGTGTAAAACCCCACGGGGGTAGAGAGGGGGGAAACGATAGCCAGATGCGCTCCGGGCTCTTATCATTTTTATCGCTGGGACGCTGATGACCCCCCTACACCTCTGTGATCCGGCCTCGAACGAACCCGAGGCCACGATCCAGGGCTTCACCGCGGGCTGCGTAATAAAAACAAGCATCTGAGCCTTCTGTCTGTTCAGCTGGGGACTCAAATCCCACATTTCATCACACGCGCTGAACGAAGAAAAATAATCAGACCAATTTTAAGACTAGTGGCTATCACGATCGCATGGCATCTAACTTTGAAAACTTAGAAACCTCTTGTTTTTCTTGTGCTGTGTCAGCCGTGAAAAAAATCTTTGTTTCAACATTACAACATGTCTGAAGTTGTGGGGTCGAGGAGGAGGGAGGGTTGAGAGAGATGGGGGGGGGGGTGGGCAGCTTCATTAAATTGTTTGCTTTTTAAACAATTATAAATGAGATTGGCTGACAACCTCACTGGACTCGCATCCAATTGAAATTAAATACATCCTTTGGTTGATTGAGGAAGGCAATTAAAGCGGGGATAGATTTCGCACAATTTAGTGATGTCAATGAGGGGGTTTCAGGAAATATGAGCACCGGGGAACAACAACGAAATCCTGTCCAGACTATTGTGGCGAATAAAAAAGAAGCGATACGCACGACGCTCAGTGTTCACGGCAGGTATCAAGCCCGTGCGGAGTTTCTAATGCCCGTATTTATTGTTGCGAGCTCTCAGTCTTCAAAGCGACGCGGCGATGTTCTCGATCGGTTGTCGCTGGAGCCGAGGGGTCAGCCTCTGCCGATCGCGAGCGTCACGACACGGCGTAGCGGCCGCCGCGGTGCGGTCTGAAGCCCGGTGGGAGGGAGGGAGGGAGGGAGGAGGGGAGGGAGGGAGGGAAGGGAGGGGAGGGGGAGGGAGGGGGAGGTTGAAGGCGAGGAGGAACCGCAGGTTAGTGGAGCGAGCTAAGTTTGGGCATCTCCCCTGGATCCCAGCCCTGGGATTTGCGCGACTCGGACCACCCGGAAGCCGTTGTCGGCGCACGGCGCTCTCAACCGCGCCAAACCTTTTTTTGTTTCATCGCTCCGCATGGCATTACGCAATTTTTTTTTTACAAATCATTGTTTTGCCGGTAAGAGAGATTTGTCCCCCCGGGACAATTAAGCTGTGGGCTGCGCTGCCGACTGTCAGTTCTTTCCCCCCAGACCCCGCATTCCATGGCTATGAGGCTTGCCCGTAAAGCCCTTTGACAACACTCAAGGGGCCACGAAATTGGACCCAGAGTGGCACAGCCAATCACACGTGAAGCCGTTCCGCTCGCAACAACCGCTCCACTTGTGTGGCGGGCAACTGTGCTCGAGCCGACCGGCTCATCCAGGCGCTAACTAATTGGTTGTGAAATCAATTCGAATGCAGAGCGCTGACATAATAATAATAATAACCAAATATCCGCCTCCCCTTTATCGCGCTCCCAGCAGCAGAGAGGGGGAAACGCTCCACGCCAGTAAGTGTAGCCTGCTCAGGAATGCGGCGCGCAATTACACAATTACCTA